CCCCAAAACCCCAAAACCCCAAAACCCCACGCTACCTAAAAACTTGCTATTTATAAATAAAAATGTCATCGAGTGCTGCTAATTTAAACATTCTGATTCCTCCAGGGCCGAGTTCCCATCACAAGGCCTCTTCTGGAGATTATGGATATGATAAAGACTTTAATGCCAAACAAATGCACAGTTCTTTTCTAAAGCATAGTTCTAAGACAAGTTCTCAAGATCAAAATTGAGGTATGTAATTTCTCATAACCTATGAATCCATAAGAAATTTATTTTCCTTTGTGATTATGGACTTTCCAAGCATGATCTTCGTTGCAACCCAAATCCCTGACATCAGATCTAGATGTTCTGTATAAATCAACCTCTGATTTCGAAGTGCATCTGGTCGAGAACGACAATAAGGAATCTGAGTCAGTTGCCATTACAGAAACTAGTAAAATTTCATCTAAATTTTAGCAACTTCAAAATACAGAGGGAGGAAATACGAACCTTCACCTACAAGCAAGATCTCTTTACGGATTAATAAACTTAAGCAGTACCGGAGCAAACAAAAGCTGACTAGCTCCTCACCGTATTTTATGAACAAGACTTATACTCCTAAGAGAAGGTTTGAGACCAAATTCAAGTTTGGGCGCGAAGATAGTCCAAAAGAGATCAGCAAGAATTCTTCTATGTAAGTTACTTTTCTTAACAATTTTAGTAAGAAATTTGCATTAAGGAATAATAAAGAAATTAGGAATTCCAAAGACTCGGATTTCAATATTAAAAGTATTTGTTAACTTTACAATTAGATGAAATGCCCAAGACAACCAGAGGGCATACCAAAAACAAACTCAGCTATTGCAACAGTAAAGAGCTACGGGATATTCAGCAAAAGCTAGAACATCACAGGAAGATTTCAAAAGATCTAGAACAAGTCAATAGAGTTAGTCAAAGCAAATACTCTATTAGTATTAAAGATCAGGATCCCATGCCGGTCAGAAAGAATTTGCATAGGAGGAATAACACAAAGAGTTTTCTTGCCAAATATGTCACTAAGGGCAGCAAGCCCTCATACTTGAGAGATACAGCGGGGAGCAAGACCAAGAGATCCATGGGAAGAGAGAAAGCAGAACGTATCAGACAGATTTCTAAAGAAAAATCTCTATATAAACCAGTCAGCAAGTTGTATACAATCGAAGAGCCAGACCCTCAAGAAAATCTAAATGATCTTATCGAACTAGCTGATAAGTTCTGGGAAAATTGTGAACTAGATACTAAGGTAATGAAACCACCTAAAAGGATAAAACAGACTAAAATTAAGAAACAGGTGAGAACTGCTAGGCCTGGGTTAAAGCAAACTCAAGAGACTGTCCAAGGTAAGCCTCAGAGACCTCAAAGAGCCTATGAGAAAATCCCTGTTGTTACTGCACAAAAGTCTCAAAAACATCTACAAAAAGTGCAGAAAATAAAGCCAATGCAGAAAGGAAAATTAATCAATAATAGTATCAAAAAGACTTCTCAAATTCCAAAGCCAAGCTTCTCACGGAATATTACAGGAATGAAGACTCCTTTACTCAGGTAAAGTTGTATGAATAATCATAGAGATCTGAAGCCCGTCTTAAAGGACCCCACTGTCTCCATTAAAGAGAAAGCGAGAGCAAAATATGAGAAGAAGGATTACCACTATGAGTTCACAGTTAGAGATTCTACCAACAGAGATGATGACATCTCAGTCCCTTTACAGTCAGACTGAGGGGATGAGAAGGGTTTCCCTCGATTAGATCCAACTGATAGAAAGTAAAATCCAGCTCTAAACAGTTTAGGAACATCAGAAGTACAATCGAAAGAGGAATGGGAGGGATCAGCAAGCATTCAAATAAAAATAGAAGATCTCGAGCTGAAAGGAACAGCTCAAGATATGGATCATCAAGGATGGGCTCTGTAGACACCAATAAAATTGCTTCTTCTACCTGTAAAATGACCCCTATGAATCCAAATAAGAGCAAACCTCCTGAGAGGGAAGAGTCTATCAGTCATTACGACAAAGATCTCTTTAGTGATGAAGAGTCATCCAAGAAATTGTATTTTCACCGAATAAACTTTAGATTCCATATTGAAAATAAAGGATCGGATGAGAAGCCTATTGGCAAACAGAAGATGCAGAAATATCAGATCCAGTCGAAGAAATTGAGGACGGATGCTAAAGATAATATGAAGAAGAGGATCAACAGCACTACAAACCTGACCAATTCTTTTGAATATCAATTTAAAAGGAACAATTTAGGTACGAAAATGGATAACCTCTCTAGAAAACTCAAGTATTTTGAAATCCAATAATGAACAATCAGCGTATAAGTCTAAGAAAATGTTTACAACGTATTGATCTTTGTTATCAGGTTTAGAAGTTCACAGACCAAGATATTGAAGAGCCCAGCATCGAAGGAAAAGGTGACCCAAAGTAAGGCTAAAATTCATAACTTTAGAATATGATGCGAATGATTCAAGGATAGTCACTTCATTCAAGCCCAGTTCTCTGAATGATGATGAGAGCTGGCTTTATCATGCACGGTTTACACAAGAGTACTCAAGTGAGTCCAAACAATGTACCACTCCAGTGATATCAGTATCAAGACTTCATAAGCTGAATGAGGTGGAGAGAAAAGCTATTATTAAGAAAGCAGAGATTCTTAAAGAGATCACCAAGGCTAAGAACAAGAATTCGACTTATCAGCATCATACTATTAGAAATCTTGAGAAAAAGAATAGCAATCTATCACCTAAATCCCCTGAGGATGGCCTGGCTAAAGCCAAGAAGAAGATCCTAGAAGATGAAGAGAACCAAGCTTTATTTGCAGCTAATAAGCTCGTATCTGCCCAAGTGGCTGAGTATAATAAAAAACTCAGATTCTTGACATTACAAAAGACAAAGAAGAAGCAGAAGCAGAAATAAGAAGGAGGAATCTGAGAAATCTAAAATTTCTGAAAAGAAGAGATCTCAGATTATCCAAGACGCTGAAAGGGAATATCAGTCTATATACTTAATGGAAGATTTCAAATCTTATAATAGGTCATGAGAGGAAATCAATGTGAGGTTCCAGACAAACTCTACTGCTGAGAGGAGAGTCCCGGTAATGCATAATTCAAGGAATAAGTCTCAAGATACATTTGGACAAAAGCAAGGATCGAAGTTCAAGCTTACGAATAACTCAATCAAGCATGAAGAATTACAAGAATATTTGAAAGACTCTAGTTTCGGAAATCGAGAGAAGATCTCTTTTGATGAGGATGGACTCTAGTCCCATTTTGTAACTTTTCAATATTAATTCATTAGTCGGGGTTTTGGGGTTTTGGGGTTTTGGGGTTTTGGGG